CCCATCAAACATGAGGGTAGAAACTGAGTTTTTTAATAGATTGTTTTTAAGGAAAGGTTATAATGACAGAAGCCCAGTGTCTAGCCTTTTTTCTTGCTTGCTGGCTGCTTTTTTCTTTTTTTAACGAAGGGTGCTGCCAGCTCCTTTCCTGTGATGTTGCATTGAATGTGAGTAGGGTCTTCAGGAGGATCTGTGGTGGGAAGGATGTGTGAATCCTGTGAACCCCACTGTAGGTGGAGGGGAAAATTGGCACACAGAGGAGAGCAAGCTGTGAGAAGGAGGATTTTGTTAGGTTGTGGACTTTGTTTTGGTTTAGTTATGTGCTGATGAATGTTAATTATGTGAGATGATTTTCATACCAGCTAATGGACTGGGCTCTCTGATTTGGTAAAGAGCAATATTTCTTTTTTTTTTTTTTTTTTTAATGTCTGCATGTCAAATTGATTTATTTTGGATTACAAACTCCGGTTTCCATGGGGATCATTTTTCTGCTTTCTAAAGGTACTATTAAGAGTCTCTTACCTTTTATGAATTACGCCTAAGAGCTATTACTGCAAAACTGTTTCAGCTGTTGATGCTTAAATCAACACTTTGTATCTGGCATGAAATCTGAAGAGGGTACAGTCTGGGATTAAAAAGTAATTTTCTGCTCTTTTGAATCAAATAACACACACCCTAATAACGTTTAATACTCCAAGAACATTACTCCATGTACATACGGTGAACTTAAAACACCATGAAGGCTGGGTGTTGTCTGGGCAGCACAGTGTGTCAGACTATTCCTCAGTCTGTTTTCTCAGCGTACTTATGTGAAGTTGTGTATATTACACGGCTGCCTAGTTGTGGTGTTTCTTAGTTAAAAAATGAAGGGGATAACTAGAAACAATCACCCTTTCAATCTGAATATGGTATAATTGGCACATGGAGGTTTTCATGAAATTATTAATATTTATGATACAAGAGAATAAAATGACTTTGTTTGTCAGGTTCTATATGTACGTTAGTTTCTAAAATGAAAAGAGCTGCTTCTCATGCAGTGGTTGCTGTTAGTTATTTCCTGTTCTTCTTTACCTGGATATATTGTCAAAGGCACAGAGAAGCTGTATGCTTCCCTCCTCCTCGTTCAGCCTGTGTACTGCTAATGTTGTTAGCCATCCAGACGTAGTAGGAGTTCAATGTAGATGTAGCCCATAAAGCTATAAAGACCTAAGATACTTCTTTGGGAATGAAAAAAACACTTTTTATCTTCTTTCTTTGCAACCAATATGGGATATGCTTTTTCACACATGATGGTTTATAAATGCTCCTCATGTCCCATTTGGCATTGACTTGCAAGTAAACAGCAACATACTAAATTTTCCAATTGCTTATTCACCCAGACATTCCCTCAGTGTCTCCCAGCTGAGCAATATAATCCCATGTATTCTTGAGTTTAGAATCCAAGATTATGTAGCCCTGAGCCAGTTTTTCAACAGAAACACCTCAGAAAAGAGCCCCCGATAAGAAATGGCAGTTTTGTCCACTGTGTGAACTGCTTTATGTAGTCGTAGCCCATGGAGGGTATCGTTAGATTGGTGACTTTCATGGGTTCAGCAGTGAATGACTTGTCCAGAAAGAACAGAGTGGCTCTACATAATGGGAAAAGATTCCAAGTGCAATTGCTGTAATACTTGTTGAATTACCTTGTTGCCTGGAAGGCTGTTATCCTTTTCCACGGGAAGGAGTGCCTTCTCAAAGGTGAGGAGGAACAAAATGGAGTGTGCTTTGTTCTTAAGCTTCTTAATATTTGATTCTATACGAAGTTTCTGGTGTAATTTTTTCTCTTGAGTAGGTGGCTTTGAAAATGCATGATGGGAAACACTTTATTTGAAAGCCGTAGCAGAAAAGGCTGTCAGTCTACACAGAAGCTGATGTGGTTCATCAGGTCGGAGTGGCTTATAAATTTGCAAATTACTCATAGCTGCAAGGGAGGAGGAAGTTGTTTCCTTGAGGGATGTTCACTCATTAATTTCCATTGTCCCCAGCGAGCACTGCTTATCCTTTTTTTTCCCTTTTCAAGCTCTATTTCTTTCTGTCTGAAGAGCCCTTCCTCATCTTGGATGCACTATATCTTATGCTTTATTTTTTCATTTCCATCTAGGATAAGTGAGTACCAGAGTCAATTTCATTGATTTGTGGGTCTGTGATGTATAAGTGGCTATGACATAATTTGTCAAAGTAGTTCAACAGTTGAAAAACTAGAATCTTTAATCAAGCTTCTCTCTTCGATCCTGAAGTGTGTCTTGGGTTTTCTTTAGCAGCTTCTAAAGAATTATTTAAAAGCCCTCTGTTTGTTTTTTTTTTTTCCCTTCCACTTTGCATTTATTCCTAATGAAGGTGAAACTTGCTTTGGAAATAAGGTTACAAAATCAATACAGGTCAATTGATGGAAGAAGCTAACCTAAAAACAAAGAAAAAAAAAAAAAAAGAGAAAACAGTACCTTCCCTACTGCATTGTAATAATATATTATTACTCTGTGAGAAATACTTCTTGAATAACTGGAGAGTTAGAGATACTTGCTGAAAGCCAGGGATTTGACTGACTTAATATCTCATAGCAACTTAGGAAGCATTAAGTAGATGGGTTGAATACTGCCTCTTGAATCTATTGTAGCATCTGCCAAAACCAGATGAGAATTTCATTCTTTAAAATACATCAGGTGGTAAATACATAACTCAATATTTTGTCAGATATCAAAAAGGAATTTGCAGAAGATGAATGACACAGTATGTGGAAAATAAAATTGCAAATGACATTTAAATACTGCAGATTTCAATAGCATGTCTGTGAGGTAGAGTTCAGTGCTAATTCTGTGCGCTTTTATTGAAATGGTACCACTTTACCAAGAAGCTAAATTTGTCTGTTATTTCTCAGTACTTGTTTTTGTTTGTCTCTTTTTGATATGTATGTTGACCACATGACCATTATGTTCTTGTTGGCATTTTTGTTCTGTGGGCAACCACGGGAAAGCTGTACTCTGCAAATAAAATCATTATTATTTATTTTTAGTTGATTAAAGAGAAAAATCAAGCCAAAGAATGGTATTGCCATTGTTTCTGGGAGGCTGCAGCTACTTTTTCATATCTCAGTTAGTAGCGTTAAGATGTTTTCTCTCAGGGTGTATATTGCTTACCCAATTGAAACACTAGCGAATCTGTCAGTCTCATTAATCAATTATGTTTCAACTCAGAGGAGCTTCCATTGTCAATAATATACATTGTTAACAACAAGCAGCTGTTGATACAGCCTGCAGTGAGAATGACTTTTCTTGCCAGTAGGAAGCTCAACTCTAGGTGTTGTCCAGCTGCAGTAGTGTAAAAGGGGCTGTCCTATCAAATAGCGTTTTTGTGCTGGTGCATTTGTTTTGTTGCTTTTATGATGTTTGTGTGAGAAATGTTTAGCTGTAACATTAGGCAGCTTTCAGTTTCAACTGAACAACTTGCTTAGAAATGCATAACCTTACATGTAACTTCAAAAATAAGTGCTTCTAACTTATGGTGGTTGCCTTGCACGTTCTTCTACCATGTTCCACTTTCAGCACTTTTAGTGCTGAAAATCTGTGTTTCCTGCTGCTGAGTCTTCAGAGACTCTGTCTGAAGACAGCACTAAAAAATTTACTTTGTAAGTGCTGAAGCGTGAGACTAAACCACGTTTGTGCAGTGTGGGTGGAGAGCTGCAGCCAGGTTATCTGTGTGCCTGCTCAGCTGCACTGGCAGAGACTATTCTGCTTGGGTACTGCAGCTGCAGTGCACCATGTGCCTGGGAAGGGGGGGAGTCAATGCCGGGAGGATGAGGGCAGAAGCTGCTGTGTGCTGCTTGCTGCCTTCTCTCTTCTTAATGTCCCTACCAGTGTCTGCACAGATGAGGGTGAGGGATGTCTCCCATGAGCAGAAGCAGAAAAGGTACCCTGCTTGCAGTGTGCAGTGCAGCACTGTGTGTGTTGTCTTGGGGAGCTGAGCTCACTGAAGACAAGTTCCCGATTTCTGGTGCCAGCTACCCCTGGCTCTGGGACTCCTTTTATATGCTTAAAGCTCATTTGATCCACAGGACCATATAGTGTGCATTTGGAGTGTGGAAAACTGGTTTCTAAGTTGTGCTATGTCTCCCTGAGATCCAGATAGACTAAGATACAATGATATGAGAATAAGTATTTTAGCTAATGCTGGTTTCTCTCCATCTTTCATTTCCTAGTTGAAAGAAATATGTAGGGCTGGAGTATCCAGGAGAGCAGATTGCATTCTCTGGGCTCTTTAGTGAAGTTGTATGTAGCCTTTTTTTTTTTTTTTCTTTTTTTCCTATTTGTTTAGTGGCACATTGTAATGTATATACAGAATCTCTTGAAAAAAAATCGTATTTCTTTTGGATGTGACTTCCCAGAGGTCTGTGTGTGCCACTACATTGGCCAGTGGAAGGAAAATGAAATTGCTGTGATCTACTTCCACACAGACACACAGATTAATACCATGTCTTTATATTTGTTTACTTAGAGTCTGTTGTCTTTAAAAAAAAAAAAAAAAAAAAAAAAGCAATAATTATTAAAATGAACACTCAGCAGATATCTGTGTTTGGATACTCAGAATGTCTTATTTCATGCGTGAGTCAACATAAACATTTGAAAACATGTTTTGGATATGTTTCCTACGCAGTTAATGAATTAGAGGCTTTTGGAGTTAATTACTGAAATCCAGGAGAAGGCAGCTGAGGTGCTATTGCTTCCAGTTACCTCGCATACAGAGATGCTAGCAGTTGTTCAGACTTGTTAGTCTGAGCAGTGTGTTGGCCTAACTCCTAGTAAACTCCAAACAAGTGCATTTTATTTGCACTATGTGAGAATATTCAAGTCTATTAAAATTACTAGGTGTTTTTTTTTTTGGGGGGGGGGGAGGAGGAGGAGGGATGGATTTATTTTTCATTTGGCTGAGTTTGTTTGCTTTGTTATTGTTCCTATCTCTGCCCACAGGTAACGTCATGGTGCTGTGGTCAACTTGCAGAACATCAGTACTTAAATCCGTAACAAACCGATTCATTAAGAATTTGGCCTGCTCGGGTATTTGTGCCAGCCTAGTCTGCGTGCCTTTTGACATTGTTCTTAGTGCCAGTCCACACTGCTGCTGGTGGATCTACACGATGCTCTTCTGCAAAATTGCCAAGTTTCTGCACAAAGTCTTCTGCTCAGTGACCATCCTTAGTTTTCCAGCCATTGCTCTTGACAGGTAAGAGGTTAAATTCTTCAGGATAATCCTTGATAAGCTTTGTTTTTCAGCCCTATAAAGTACTTTGAGACTAAAAATTTATCTTCAGAGGAGTTTTTAAACCTTCTTTTTTTTCCTGTTAATAATTCTTGGTCAGTAATGGAAATTGAAGCCAGACAACTTGACTATAGAAAAAGTGCACATTTTTAACTGTGAGAGTTGAAAGCCATTGCATCTTAAAAGAATTTAGCAATGCCTGTGGTAGGTTGTCCAATTTCAAATTTAAAACCTATTTTTTTAAAAAAAATATTTTTAAAAAAGCTGCTATTAATACAACCAGAATTAATTCAGGGAAATTTTGTATGTAGATCAGTCTAAAACAGAATTGGACATTTGGACTGCCTAAGTCTTAGAGTTGTATTTATTTTGCTTATTGTTGCTAGCTGTCATTGATTCCACCTAAATGCACAGCTCTGTCATCCTGAGAGTGGCTGTAAGGTATTATTAAGGAAGGGTGGACACTGTTGTGATGAAGCTTATACTACTAAAACAGTGGGATTTACATACAATTAGATAAAATTATTGTTATTCTGCTAGCGTGTCACTGCAAAATGTTAGCTATATAAAGCAAACTTCATAACTAGTAACTCTAATGTTAATAACTTGATAAGTACAGTATGTTCTCTGTAATGTACCTTTGTATTATGTGCAATATAATGTCATTTTTCTTAATAATGTTCATACATCAACATAAAACATTTTTTTTTTTTTAACCATTTTTGTAATCTTGAAATATAAATATTCAGTCTTTTTCTACAGACCTATCCACAAAGCCAAGACCCTTGTGCTTTTCTTTTATGACGAGGTCATCAGTTGGAAGCTCAGTGAGAGATGTAGGGCATTTTGCTCAGACAGCTTGTGAGAGACTTCTCAAAAGCACACGCTCTAAAGTTGACTGTTTGTTTTTTCTCTTTTTTTTTCCCCCCAACAGATACTACTCTGTTTTATACCCTCTGGAAAGAAAAATAACTGATGCAAAATCCCGAGACCTGGTTATCTACATCTGGGCCCATGCAATAGTGGCCAGCATTCCAGTATTTGCTGTGACCAATGTGTCTGATATTTATGCCATGTCCACCTGCTCTGAAGCCTGGAGTTACTCCCTTGGCCACTTGATCTACGTTGTCATCTATAACATCACCACTGTGATTGTACCGGTGGCTGTGGTATTTCTCTTCATGATTCTTATTCGCAGGGCACTGAGTGCCAGCCAGAAGAAAAAAGTCATCATAGCTGCCTTAAGGACCCCTCAGAATACAATTTCAATCCCTTACGCCTCCCAGCGAGAAGCTGAGCTTCATGCCATGCTGCTTTCTATGGTTGTGATATTTATTTTCTGCAGCATCCCCTATGTGACTCTGGTGATTTACCGTACCATACTCAATGTTTCAGATATTTCAGTGTTTCTGCTTCTCACTGCCATTTGGTTGCCCAAGGTCTCTTTGTTAGCCAATCCTTTGTTATTTTTAACTGTTAACAAATCTGTACGAAAGTGCTTAGTGGGGATGATAGTACAGCTGCACCAAAGGTACAGCAGGAGAAACATTGTCAGCTCAGGTGGTGTTGCAGATGCTAATCTGGAGCCCAGTGCCCGTTCAGGGAGCCAGCTTCTGGAGATGTTTCATATTGGGCAGCAACAAATCTTCAAGCCAACAGAAGACGAGGAGAATGAAACCAAATCTGTTGGCTCTAGTGACTTTCAGCAGAAAGAAATTCCTGTCACCAGTTCAAAAGTAGGACAGACTTCGATTCACAGATTTATACCACAGACAGTTGCAGACTCTGCAGCTCAGGTGGCACCAGCTGTGCCTGCAGAAACTGATACGGGAAATGACAAGTATTCCATGCATTTTGGTTTTGGACCCTTTGAGCTGCCTCCTCAGTGGCTGTCAGAAAGTCGGAATAGTAAGAAGCGACTCCTGCCTCCTTTGGGGAATACCCCTGAAGAGCTAATCCAGACAAAGCAGCCAAAGTGTAAAGCAGAAAGAAAAATCAGCAGAAATAATAAAGTCAGTATCTTTCCCAAGGTGGATTCTTAGGAGGAGTAGGAGCTTTAAGTGACCGACAAAGGTCACCTAAACTTATTTGTGTGATCCCATGGATCTTTGCTGTGCTGAAATCTGTTACAGGCTGATTTTTTTGTGTGTGTGTATGTGTGCCAAGTGTAATTAAACAAACAAAAGGGAAACATGCATACAGGTGTTCTTTATTCATATGGTTTTGTGAAAGTAATATATTGAAAGATCACGATTTTTGTTTTTATTTGTGAAATACCTATGATAATACATTCCTGATGAGCTTTCAGAAAGTACATGTGGCTTTGGGAACAGTTTTTTTATGGCTGAAGTATGGAAATATGGCAGTCAGTTTGCTGGGAACCTTCTTATATTAAGATGGACTGGATATTGAAGAAGCTTAATAGGAAAGGCTATAGGGAGCACGAGAGGATACAAGATGGATTATAATATTAAGCCAGTTTCTGAAATCAGTGTTAAAAGTAAAACTTACTGGACTCTTACACAGGTTATTTAGCAAGTATCTGCTAAACTACACCTTTTTAAAACTTAAACCAATATTTTTTGTGTTTAAAATTTCAGCGAAGCCAAGGATACCAAAATTGTCTTGTGTGTCACAAACCTGAGGATGACGGATTCAGAAATAGCATTTCTTTTTTAAAAAACGTTCTTGTAGTTCTGAGTAGAAACTGTACTGAAGAAGCCTGACCCTAATAAACAAGAATGTACAGGCCAAGGTCATAAACGTAACGTTTGATCTTATGATAAAGGATATATACAAATGTCCCAACAGTATTCTGTAAGTATTGTGTACATAAGCAAAGGGTTGCCCTTAAAATTCACTCCTATCTACTGGTTCACGGAGCTTTGTTTTTTGTGGGAAAGGTAGCAAATGGAAGAAAACAGTTGGAGTTGCTTACAGACTTGTACTGAATTGTTGAGTGTGGAAGCTGATTATGGACCCCAAAAGGCAAGGTTTGCTAATGCTGTGGCTCAGTATTGTTAGTGAGGTTTTCGTTTTACCTTCACCAACATAAATACCAGCTATCATATTCCACTTGTCTCACAGATTCAATCAACCCGTGTATGAACATGAGACTTCTGAATCTGGTGCCTAATTTCTGATCAAGTCAGAGTCAGCCATCCCTGGTCTCAGCGTACTAGCTGTCCTTTGAGAGCTGTGTGTTTGTATCCTTCTGCAGCTCATCCTCCCAAGCTTGTCATTTCCTCAGTACTGTGTGAATTTCAAATGTACCTGTCTATTAAATGACCAGGAAACTATTGTCACCCCAGCTGTAATCCTTTGGTCAGTTGCAAGTTAGTTGTTGTTCCTTTTTTTATTTGCATTCACTGTTGACTCTGGGTGAGAAAAACTGGAAAACACAAGTGACACCCAGCACTCCTCGTGGTTCTCCTGTAGTGTAGCCCTTTGGTGTATGCTGGATCTTTACCTGTCATTATTGCCTGTTGGGAAAGTATTTTTCTTTAAAGAATGCTTTTTGAAGGGACAAGGTGAATTGTCTTGCTGAGTTCACAGTAACTTGCCAAATCCAATTGATTACTGTTAGAAGTGTGGGAAAAATTGTGCTAAGGCAGAATTTGTAGATGTGTGTATTCTTCCTTTGAGGAGTAGGAGCAAGTCAGCTGCTTCTGCTAGCTTTGAGGTGATGGATTTCTATAAGACACTCAAAGCAAATGCTTTAATTAAAAAAAAAAAAAAAAAAAAAAGAAAAAAGAAAAAAAAGAAAAATTCTCAGTTACTGTGAAAATGTTTTTCACTGTTTGTTCAAGAACTTCCCAGTGTGGAAGAGCAGTCTTCAGTGGTGCAGATGGATGGTGGGAACCCAAGCTGCCATGCTAAGCAGATGATGACTGGACTGAGATCAGGCAGAAGAAATAATGCAGGAAAAGCTGTTCCTTCTGTGACAGGGGTAGTAAAGGATCATAGCATACAGGTTTTTTTAAGTACTGATTAAAAATAAATTGTATTTCTGAATTTAATTAATAAAGAGTCCATTAAAGACATCTCCCAAACATTAAAAGCAAGGTAGAAGACAGTGTCCTTATGAATTTAGAATAAATTCGGTATTTACGGCCTGCTTATGCATAGGCACTGATCAAAGTCTCTCTGATTGATGAATGTGGGTAAATGGTTACTCGGATTGAAACTTCCTCTGAGGAAAACAAACTCAGTATTGTCCCTTCCAACTCTTATGTTGAATGAAATGCTGATGGTAAATATGAAAAGCCAAACTGAATAGAATTTACTTCTATACCTGGAAAGTGAGATATTTGTGTTGATTTTGGACTTCTGAGACAAAGTTTCGTTCAAACAGGACAGATATGAAAAACTGTATGCAGGACTTTTTGTTTCTGTTTTTTTTTTTTGTTTGTTTCTTTTTTAAGCAGAAATTAACTAAGGTGGGTTTTTTTTATTATTATTCCTGAGAAATTATTTTGGAATATAACAGGTAATATGATTTTATTTTGGTCGGTTTATCCATATGAGTTTTTAGGAGAAATGGGAAAAATACATAGAAGCCCATCTTTGCATAGAACAAAAAATGTCTGTGAAATTCATAATGCATCTTCTGTAGAGATCTGTAATCAGAAAAGTAATTCAGGAGATGCCTTATGCAAGACAGAATATTTGTCTTGTACAGTTTGATTTCCGTGAAGGCAGTGGTACCTTTGAGACTCTGCTGCTGTTGGCTTGTTGTTCCAACAACTTCTACCAGACAAAATGTTCTTTGGTATTCAGTAGGAAAAAAAAACACCAAGACTTGTTTTATTCTTTATTATTGTACTAAAGGATAGCAGTTGTTGTTGTAACGGTTGTTTTTAAGATACATTTTTCTCTCCTGATTACTGGTGAAAGAAAGTAAAGTGCCAAATGAAGCTGTGGGAGCAGAAGAAAGGAAAGCCTGGGGTGATTTGTGTGAAAATGGATTCAAAGGATAAATCTTAATTCTGGAGAATAAACTTGAAGGAAAGATGGAAATCACTTTTCTGCCATTTAGCGATGAAAAACGGAAAACAGAGCTCATATTAAACGAAGGAGTCTTTTAGAAGGAGAAAAAGACTTAAGGTAACAATGTCAATGTACTGTTTTGAAAATACTGTTAAATTCAAATAAACTTGATGTAAAAATTGAAAAAACAGTCTTTCGGCACCAAATAATGCTATGTTGGTTGGCTACTTTGCAACACTGTATTTTGCACAATGGGATAAATGTGCAGAGAAAAGCAGTTTTCTAAAAGCTCCCCAAGTGTTCCAGACTGTAGCAACCAACAGATCTAATTGTTATGAAACTGTGGTAATTTAATGAATGCATTTGTTCTGTTTTTAAGGGTGCTTCAAAATATATCTATCGATAACGTTTTGCAGAAAAATCTGTTTGGATTTCTCTAGTCTAATTCTGCTTTCTGTTTCCTGGGAAAAGATTCCCATATGAGTGAGCTGTACAGCAAAGAGTGGACAGAAAGGTAAGAGAGCTCGCAGCTCAGGAGTGCTGAGAATCACAGCAGGTCCCATGGCTGCTGTGAAGGTAACCAACCAACCAACCAACCAACCTGCTCTGGAGGCGACTGCATGTCCCACAGAACCCAGCCGGAATTCCTGCCTTCTGACCTTGCACTGGAGGATTGGGTAACAGGTGTCAACTTTAGAAAAGGCGAAATCCCTGCCATCTCATCTTGCTTGAGTTATTGTGTAGGCATACTTTAAGCTGTGGAGGATTTGATATAAGATAATTAATGAGGTGGTTTTGTTTGCTTTTGTTTTTCTATTCTGGACGTAGGAGGTTACCCTCACCCCCCTACTCCTCCCAGAAAAAAAAAGTGTGGGTGAAGTCATTGCATTTAAACACTTCAGAACACTTCTATCTCTTCTAAAACCACTTCTTATTTTATTTGCAGTGACATTCTTTGTGCCGAAGTAGAGCTATTAGTAGGATTTCTAAATGAGTTATATCAAGATCCTTAATTATCAAATGGCAAGCATAAAATGAGTGAAGTCTTCAATAATTCATAATTCAAGGACAGTTCAGGAATACAAGACAAAGCACATCCTGTGGGAAGCTGCAGGACTCCAGGTGCAGGTGCTGATTTCTCCGCAGTCCTGGAAGGCCACAGAGCAGGATCAGCAGGAAGCAGCCGGAAGTTTCCTGTGTGCTATGTCTGCTTTTGAGCAGCTAAGCCAGTCAAAGGGAGCAAAGAGTGCTCAGAGACATATTCTTGTTTGCTTTCTTTAGGAACAACAAAGAGTGGGATGCAGAAGCATTTTCCAGCTCCAATGAAAGCTTGTCTGTGTGTACATAGGAGCAGCTCTCTTGTTCCTAAAGTGGACTTTCTTTAAAGAAAGCAGAAGAAACATCAAGTCAGATCCAATTCCTAAGTATATGCTTGCTAAGGCGAGGGTTTCTCAACACAGCTGTAATGTGACATCACTATAACTAAAGATAATGCACCAAGATGGTGACTTATTTGAAAAATTCCATTGTGCTTATAAGCAGGATTTTTTTTTCCCATACCTCCATTTTCTGTGCAACCAAGACCTGTAAGTTTTGCCTGGATCACATTCCCTCCTCAGGGACTTGGAGGATTTCCTTGCTCCAGGCCCCTTGCACCAATGTGGTGCAGTGCAAACCGCTCTGGACTTCTGCTTCTATACTCTGCTGGTTTCCAGACAAAAGGTGCGGCAGAACAGAAGACAGGACCTTTTCTAATGCAAATCAAAGAATGAAAATCTGGATTTATTAGGCACCACAGAAGTTTTACCAGTGGTTCTGGATTCAGCATTCCTGTTCAGCCTTTCTTGCTCATCTGGCAAGGTACTATTATAGTGCTCCTACTGCTGGGGTATACTGCTGAATGCTGCTCATCCTCAAAGGGATTTCTGGAAGAGTCAAAATACAACCTAGAATTCGTGATGTTTTGCCCTTGACTTGGCACAAGCCAGTCAGGAGAACATAATCTGTCTTTCACAAGAAAAGAGCCTATCTGAGTAGTGGAATCCGCCTTAAATATTTTGTAAAGAGATGCTACTTCAGGTGAGTGCATAAAGAAAATGTAAAATATCGAAGACCAGTAACTAGTTGGTGTTAAACAAAGTTGTGATTTATCATCCTCCCTGTAAGCCAATGAAGGTAGTGCTTTGGCTGCCTGTTTGTGTAGCAAAATGCTGCTGAGAAGTATGAACAGCAGCAGGGAGGCAGCAGCATGGAGAACAAGTTTCCTGCATTTCCCCCTCATTTGTTTTTCTCCTTGACTGGATTAGGGAGGAAAGGATAAACGAATTCTGTTGCTATGGTGACCGTGTTCTGAGTATCGAGACAACTTGTCTAAATGTGTTTTCAAGATGCTGTAATCTATCTTGTAGGATTAAAAAGCACAGTTTGGAGTGCTTTTCTTGTTGCGCTCTGTTTAAACAGTTTTCTCTGATTGAGTCTGTCTCCTCTCCCTCTCTCTTCCTATCATTCTTCAGATAAGTCTCTATCATGGAACGTTTTGTTCCATATGTTTTGTGACATATTCCCAAAAAGGCGAAAAAGAAAATTACATACTTTCTCTGCTTCACTAGTTCAAGCTTCATTATGAGTATACCTGCCACCTGTAATAATAATTTCAGGTTCTTTAATATTTGATGATGTTTACAGAAACTCATCTGTGAGAAGAGGACTGGAGGCTCGTGGCCTGATCTTCTGCTGCCACCCTGCTGAGCTCATTGCAGTGCATGGCATGCGCTGCAGCAAACAGCCGTGTTGGTGCTCAGAGGGCTCTGATGGTTGGGCTGCTCTCGGGTCCTGTCCCTGGGTGTGCTATTGCTGGAATTTCAACGGTCATTAGAAATGTTTATTTTTTCCCTGAGCATTATAGGTAAGAAATTTGAGAATTACAGGTTGGTCACAGCACTGCGATTAATCCTCACATCCTATTTGAGTGTAGAAAATAAAAAGGTGGGGTGGGGATAGAACGTTAGGTAATGGCACTCTCCAGTTACAGTTCCTTACTAACAGTCAATAGCCACGTAAATAACAGTGATCTCAGGGTTGGTTCTAATGAGTTTACTTAAAGCAGCCATTCAGTTCAGTACAGGTCAACCATAACGCCGCGCGTGCAGGCTGGACCCGCCGCCAGCAGGAAAAGCAACTCGCCCGCTCTCTGCGTCCGCCTGCAGCTCTCGCGACCGCGGTGTCTGCGGGCCGTCGCCATGGCAACGGCAGCCGCGGCCCGGGTAACGCCGGCGGCCCCCCCGCCCTGCGGGAAGCACGCGCACCAACGGCCGCCCAGCGCGCGGCGCTGCAGGCGGCGCCTGGGGCTGCTGTGGCGAGCAGGGCTGCGCGGTTCCTTTTGAGATGTGTGCAGTTTGGCGGGGATTGTTTTAGTCAGTAAGCACTTTTGGATGCTTTGATTGCCCTGCTGCTTTGTGTTTGTACTCGTATAAAAGCTGCGTGTTTGAGCGGCGAACTGGAGCGCAGAAAGATCTCTCAGCGTTGAATTGTTTGAAATCTGTTTAACCTGCATCTGAAGTGGGCTCGAGGTTTTTTACTAACAGACTGTGAGCTTGGAAGGTGGTGGGTTTTGTTTTGTTTGTGTCGTCAGATGGTTGGTTTTTGTTTGTTTGCTGTTCTTTCCCTTCAGGTTTTAGGTCCCAATGGATATGACAAGGGGGAGCTTGGATAAAATTTCACAGCCTGCATGTAGCTCAAGAGCTTACCCCAGCTGCAGGCATTTAAGTGTCTCTCTGGAGTTACTGGCACCAGAACCTTTTTTGCCAAAGGTAATTCTTGTTACTTTTAGCTGCTTCCTTTTTTCTTGTTAGAACATTGAAGAAATGAAGTTCTGCTCTCCTAGCTTTGCAGAGAGTTCTGGGGTTTGTGGCTGTGCAAAGGGCTGTGAGTGCTGGCTGCTCCTTCTGCGCGCGGAATGATGTTTCATTTGGTTTTTCTAAGTCATTAAGATGGCTGCAGAAAGGTCTGTTCAGCATTGCAGTCTGGGGAATTGGATTGTATTCTACTGTACGCCCTCAAGTTGCAACAGTGGAGATTTGGGTTGAATATTAGGAAAACTTATTCTCTGAAGGAGTGGTCCGCCGCTGGAAAGGGCTGCCAGGGAAGTGGTGGAGTCACTGGTCCTGGAGGTGTTCAAGAAACATCCAGATGTTGTACTGAGGGACATGGCTTGGTGGGAAATATTAGTGACAGGCGGATGGTTGGACTGAGTGAACTTAGAGGTTCTTTCCAAACTTGGTGATTCTGTGATTTTATATATTTAATCGGATTACAAAATATATTCCATTAAAAGTTTTTTTTTGTTTGTTTTGTTTTTTAATAAAAATCATAATATTCCAAGAATTGTAGATCAGCTCCAGGAATGTAATAAGTTCCATAAGAAGTAAGATGTTTGTCCATTCTCTGAGGAAACTGGCAAGTGGGATTAACTTAATTTTGGGAATAGTTTTATGTGATACAGTTTTTAAGATGTAGGGACTGAGACTTGAGAATTTGAGATTTAAGTTGATTTACTTAAGTTTATATCCCACAGTGTAGTACTTGCATTCATCCAGCTGCTCTAGGCATCATGCCTAGTTGCTTCATAAATGCATTAAAATAATTTTTTTGTAGGTTCGCAGTCAGATTTTGAGGATGCCACCAGAAAACTTTGAGTCCAAGTTCTTAACCTAAGCATCCTAACCAATTGCATGAAAATTGCCATCTCTTGAGACTGATGAATTAGATACAAGCATATCAGCCTTTTAAAGAGGAGAAAAAACTCAATAGTATGAGCAAGAGGTGGAGATGCTGCCTGGTACAGAGTGCCCACAAGTGGGAAATGAGTGAGGCTGTTGTATATACAGACTGGTTGGCTGTATATACTGGTTGTACTGTGCCGTAGCAGAACTAGTATGCATCTTCAGAGTTCCTTCCTAGTCCAAGAGTCTATAAAATGTTGAGCCTAAGAAAACAAATTCACTAGTGTGATATCTAAGAAGCAGAACTCTCATCTGAATTTTTTGTTTAAGTGCTACTTTGAGTCTTGCGTAGAAGCATTATTAGCCTTTGTAATGATATGTGATTAGTGTGATTATCTCCCTCTTCCCCCCCAAGGTTTTTGTTTATATGGTAGTGATTGATTTGTATTTCATAGGTTGATTCATCTGTCAGTTTGGGTGTTAGTCTTCAAAGAAGCTTGGAAGACTGCTGTCTAGAAGAAAACAAAGGTGATGGTGGGGGAGACCTGTGATATCAAGGAAGTAGAGAGCATGACTGTTTTTCAGGAGTGTGTGCTGAGTCCCAGCGAGTTGTCTGGTGTGGGAAAGCTTTCAATTTCTTTGTGATGTGACTAGACTAAGTACCATATATTTATGGTTTGCATAAAATTCTATGCAAAAATTCTATGCTCTCTAGAGCATAGAGAGCATTGTATGCAAACAAGTGAAATTCCAAAAGAGAAAGGGGGTCATGGTTTCGAAATTCGTGCCCTCGTTATTTTGAGTCTCATCTTTGAAATACAATTGTAATAGCTGTGATAACGCAGCATATGCCTTGTGGCATCTAAAACTGTGGCCTGTGCCTGGTTGGTGGTGTAAAAAATCGGAAGAAATCATATGCATTTGTTCCATGAAACCATGATAGAAAGTATTTTCAATGAAGTGTTTTATCCAACTTTTCAAAGATAATGGTAATTTCTGCTCCTGGGTTAAACGTGAGCTCAAGTGTAGTAGTAGGTAACTTTTTCTTTTTCTTTTTTTTTTTTTTTTTTTCTCTCCTTGAGAGAGTTGTTCACCATAGAATCTCAGTGGCAATCTCACACTGACAAAAAATTTGTTTCCTTAGTTGTTAGTGTTTCAAACACTTGAAAAGCTTCTTTCACATCTATGTAATTGTGAAAGGCTTTCTCCTGTGTTTTTCAGGATATGTCTCTAACTCAGATTCTGGAGATGAGACACAGACTTCAGTATTTTGTGAACCTTCCCAAGGAAAAATAAGTAATGCAAAAGAAGGTATTTTCTGCTTTATGAAGTGTGTGGTGCAGTAAATTTCTTTTATGTTAATTTTCATGTGAGCATTCTTCGAAAATATTTATGCATTGTCGCATTCAAGAGGTTATAGATTATTTGTTTAAAGGTTATTTAATTTGGCTATGTGGTAGTGTCTGTGTTCTATGTAGATTTGGTCAGCCTAATAAGGAAGTAGAATCCAGTGGTGGCTCTATCTAGTGCAGCAGTGTCGGTCATCTCACGTAATAGTCTTTGCTTCAGAACAGAAATCACGTAGAGTTCAGCTTCAAACCTTCACTTAGTAATTTAGCTCCAAATCCATCTGCAGTGTTCAGTCCGGTTGAAATAAGTGACTGATTACCTTTTCTCATAGGTGCTTCCCTGGAGCTTGGCTAGTTCTGTATAACTCGCTCCTTGTTATGTCACGCATCTTTTTTTTGTACCATGAAGTAGACTGATGTGTTACGGTGAATGTTTGGGGTCAAATGCACCATTTAAAGCTTTTGACCTATAAACATTAGAAAATGAAAAAAGAATGCAAGGACTCAAATTTGAAAGTCTGTGGGATTGGAGCAGCGCTACAAATGTGTCTTCTGGTACTGAAGCTTTTCTACCAGAAAAGGGAGATGAGTACAAGGATGCTGTAGGAAGAGAAAAGGCTAAAAGTGAACAGAAATAGAAATCTGCACGTTTAAGAAAAAAGTAACAAAACAAAAATGCATTTTGATTAAGTAATGATAGTTTCTATAATATTTCACCATTCCTTGTCAAAGAAATATTGTCTAGAACCAGTAACAGATTCTGCTTTATTTGAGATAGAAGTCGAGATTAAATCTCCTGTAACATTTAGAAGAAGAGGTATTACTGTCTCTCTCAACCCCATAATTATTTACTTTAATGAAGGACATTTCAACATGTATTTTAGTAGCTGTCATGAAAGAAAAACTTGTTGAGTTATTCTCTTATTTTGTCTGCCACTATTGTTGATACTTTGGAGATACAGTCACTCTTCTGTGAAGTTTAAACTAGTTACCCAAAGTGGGGTGTTCTTCCCCCACCTCATATTCGGCTGCTACAGTTAAGAGTTTGATTCAGTAATCTTTTACAAAGACTTTGTTTTTCTCTGCTTAAGAATAATTGTGCTTTCATCTACAGTTATTATCAAGCTACTTGTACTGTGGGTTTTTGTTTGTTTGTTGTAAGTTGAAGTACATCAAGCTAACAATTTAAAATCTAACCTGCAGCAAACTCTTCCAAGTTATTGGATTCTGAAGAGGCAGAAGGAGATCCTCAGATTCAAGCAGCTATAAGGAAAATGAATAAGCTTGACACAATACTGGCAAAAAGACATGTTAAAGAGAGAGCAGTTAAAAAACAAGGCAAGGAAATGAGAGCAAAGCTCTGGGAAGAACTTAAGGTTAGAATAATACTGTGTTCTAGTTCTTAGGTAATCTGCTTTGGTACTTGTCTTATTAGAGCAGCTGGAGATGTTTCCTTGAAGAAGACATGAGAACACCACAGCACAAATTCCTTTACATTATTCCTGTCGTAGCCTCTAGCAGTTACATGTTGCTTTAAGCCTTAAAACATGACTTTCAGTATTTCCTCAGAAGTTAAAATATTGTATATTTTTCATAATGTAAGTGTAATTTGCTAAAAAGTCAGGGTTGTGGTTGGTTTCAGTGCATCTCATAGTGTCAGTGCATTTGGATGAAGAGCTGTATATCTATTAGGGAAATGCTTTGTAGAATGTGTCTTCATGAAATAATGCAGATTAGAGGCCTTGTAATTTCAGGAGGTGTTCATATAGCCTCAATAGTAAAATAAACCAAAAAGTAGATGTTAAAACCTAAGGAAAAATTTTTTTGTATAACATTTGTTAGACCTGGTAAGCAGAAGATTTTGTTGCAACTTTGAAGTATATATGTGCTAGTGTCCTTTATATTTATGCTTTATTTCTTTTAAATAGTCTGTCAGTACCATGGGAATCCATGAGGAGATAGAAAACACAAAACTCTTCTTAACTTTGATCTCATCGTGGCAGGATACAACTGGTAGGTAGAAAAGATTTAAATACGCTGAGCTGATGATTCTTTATTTTGATTAATGTTCATATTTTTGTTGGGTACAATTAAAAATTAAAAAAAAGATTTTATAAGTGTATCAAAGGACTGGAAAGATAGAAGTCCAGAATAAGTAAAGCTTGTGCTTTTCAAGTCGGTGGCCAAGGATGTACGACTGAGAGCACTGCTACATTAAAATACTGAAAGTAGTTATAAGGAAAACACAGAGCGGAAACCTGTTGAAAAACTTGGATGTCTTAATTGTTTTGGAATGTCTGGGAAGTAAGTCAGTCAGTCCTGCCCAGAGCAGTGGTGGAGTCACTGACCCTAGAGGTGTTGAAGGAACATTTAGGTGTTGTGTTGAGGGACGTGGTTTAGTGAGAGCTATTGGTGATAGGTAGATGATTAGACTGGATGATCTTGTAGGCCTTTTCCAACCTTAGTGATTCTGTGAAATCATTTGTTTACAAGATCAGTTTTGACGTTGCTGATGATGGCCGCTGGCGGTCTTAGCTTGGAGTTTGACAGGCTGGCAGTAAAAATAAATAAATAAATAGGCCTAATACATTTTAGGCCTAAAAGAGTTGCTTAGAAATTCTAAGGATGTGGACTTGCTACACAAGTGGCAAGTGTGCTTTGGAGAAAACTTTCATATAGGAGTGGGAGAGATGATGAGAAGGAAGCAGAAGAAATGCCATAGTAAGATTCTGATGATTTGCCAGTACAAGAGGTATGGAAAGCCTGTGCCTTTTCAGAAACTGTTAAGAGAAGAAACAAAAGTATGGGACCCAATGATGATACTAACTATGTAAGTCACTCCAAAACGAATGCCTCCTGTTTATTTTCATGGAAGCTATGGTAGATAGAAGGAGCAGAATAACACTGACAGACCAAACTCTCAACTACAAAACAGTATTTTTTAACATAGTCACCACCATTTGCTTTGCATTTTCATATGCAATAAATACACAAGAGCCTGCATGCTGTGCTTGTAAAAATCTTCATGGTTGTGTGGAATGTTGCTTGTCTTTCATGTTGCTGTTGCCACTGCTGAAAGGTACCACCAACTGCCTTATTGTGATGGCATTCCCTGTTTGGTCTCCTTAAGTGTTCAGCAAGTGTTAATGAGTGGCAGTGGGTGCAGTTTTTTCTACATGAAGGGAATCAACTCTACCCCTTTTCTTCACATGCACTTCCATGTCAGATGCCATTGCCCCTCTGCTGCCAAGCAGAATGTTGGTGGGAAGGTTCAACTTTTACTGCCGTACCACCAATATCTGCCTCTGACCACGTGGAGCAACACAATAAATTAGGAGACATTACTTCTGGAGTATCCCTTGTATGTGTTTTAAAACACCGGAGGAAGGTGCATGCGTAGCCATGGTTCTTGGAATGTAGTTTAAAGAGTAGAAAAAGGAGTATGACTCATTTAACTTAGCGTTGGTACTGATTACGTTAAATTCACTTCCAAGAGCTTAACTTTCTTAGCATGGGAGAGAATTTGACTAAAAAAGATCATCAAATAATATAAGGCATGATTCTAAAGATGGAACATGAACCATAAAATTACCTTAATCTGCTTTTATTTTTCTTCTCCCTTGAAAATTTTAGGAAAGAAAGTTCAGGATAGATGGCTGTTTTAAAAATTGAAACTGCATTAGACATGCTGTCAAACTATTTTCAGGAAAGAAAGAACAGGAAGTCAGATAATTTTTGTGTTTCAAAGTGATATGAAGACAAAAATACTCTAAGTGGAAATGAGCACTCTGATAAGAATCAGTGTTTGCATTTTAGTCTGTTATCTTATAGCAGATAGACTAAATATAATCATTTCCATCTGAAGTAAGAATTAAAAATCAACAAAATTCCATGACAGCATCATAGACAAATGAGTAAGGATTGAGTTCTTGCACTCAGGAAAAGGTAAACAACTGATCAGTGATACAGAGAATTGTGGAATATGATGCATAACAAAAAATACATTCAAATTAGAGAATACTATGTAAAACTATAGATGGAATAGGCAAGAAAAAGTTAAGTGTTACTTAGAAATTTTACTGAGTCAAACCAGCATGATTCTGTTGCAATTCTACAGCAAGTGGTCTAAGCGTGTTTTGAATTATCGCTAGTTTTCTTCAAGAATGCCCAATGGACGTAAAATAAACAAACAAAAACCATTGGTTATTAAAATGTCTTCCATTTTATTTCTGTGCCTGGACTTTTACTGGGGAAGGCGCTGGAATGAACCATAGGCATCCTGCACAGCGTGTCTTTAGTGGGGGGTGGGAGAAACAAAACCAGATCGTTTGTGTTTGCCAAAACTGCCTAAGAGCAGTTTTCAAAAGTTTGAGTACTTCTCTTGGTTTTTGTCCACTTTTTTTTGTCCCTATCTTCATCTCTGAACCGTGGTAGATAAGGGTTTCTGGTCTGAAATGGTTGACAGGAAACAGAACTGCTTTTTATTTTTTTTCATGTTGGGCAGAAAACGAGAATTAGAGGACTGCATGGATATTGCTGAGCAATAATCTGAGTTTGTTAATATATGTGCAAGTGCGTGCATAATAACACTGTTAATATGTGGTCAAAGCATGTCAAAACAAGCACCACAGGACAACTTTTCTATTCTAAATTTCAGTTATTAAGGGAAAAGCATGGAATTTAAGGATGGTAGTTTAAAACTCTCCAGTAGATGTCAGCATATAGCAAAAAACAGCAGAAAAGCTAGACTATTTTTAATGATCTCCAACCCTTAAATGCTTCATTTCCTCTCTTATTCCAAAGCTAACTCCTAATGTGAGATCATATGTGTCCTGTGCATCTGGTGTACCATAATTGCAAAGCTCTCCTTAGTTTGGATTTATATTTTTCCTCCTTCTGATCTCTGTCTTTAGTTTTCTGTAACATGCTCATGCTTTACTTTTCAGGCTTTATTTATTTAAATGTCTAACAATTAACTGCCAGCCCTGACAGTTGCCCTGGTTGATACTGAAATGGAATGCAACTCATTTATTTTGCTTTCAGGGTTTCAACTTGTCAAAGAGCTACATTACATAATTTATATAGAGGAGCTATTTAATTTCTGCTTTTAATGTGGCTCTGAAATCAAACACAAATTTTAGGATACCAAATCAGTAATAACTAATGTGTCCCAGCCTGCTTATGATGCATAAGCTTGACAGACACACGACAGAAAAGTAAATCGGGAATTAATTGGCCTTACATTCATTCCTTGTGCTCTGCGTAACAAAATCTTGATGTCTGTAGAGTTCATTAAACTGCATTATTACAGATTATTGTTTGTTTTTTTTCATTGTGAGAAACATATTTGTCATATATGACATTTATAGTTATTTTCAATATGAGTCTTTTTCTTTAAGTGCTAAGCTCTTAGACTGTAGTTTAATACTGTTAACTTAGGCTTCCAGTTGATATATGTTTGTTCCATGACTTATTTTTTTTTTCCTTGGGCAACTGAAACAACTCTTGCATGCCTAAGATGTATTTGAACACTCCTAGACTATACCCCTGACCTAAGCCACTTGGAAGACAAGTAATTCATGTAGAGGCAGACACCAGCTGTGAAAATCTGGATACTTTATTCTCATTTGAACTTCTTTGTGACTAACCACATGGTGTCTGTGGAGGCTTTGAAATATCCTGGCCTTGGGCTGCAATTTCTATTATGTAACTGTCACATATGTGCTTCTGTACGTATATTCATTGGTTGCTCAAAACTCGAGGCATATGAAACAACATATATATTCTGTTATGTTGTTGTTCATGAGACACTGCCCCTTTTTTCCTTTTTTATTTCTTGAAAAATGTAGTGGCGATATAATTTATCCAAGTACCTTTTTAACTACAATGTAGGAGATTTTATAGCATGATATGTATGATACTAGGTCTTCTTTAATTGAATTTTACTGAAACATTTCTTTTCAGATCCCTCTCATGTTAAACAGGATGAAACACACGCGTTGCTATTTCACTCACAAATTAGTCCAGAAGATTATGCCTTCCATAAAACCCAGCATAATAAGGGTAAGCTTCATTATCTGGCAAAACAACACGTACAGTAGGTGGTTAATGAAGACTTGGCTTTTGTAGCTGAGCAGAAAATCAGAAATTGGGCTTAAACAGAAGGCTGTTTAGCAGAATGGCAATAATCCTTTTTTTTTTTTTTTTTTTTTTTTTTTTTGGCAAATGACAAAATGGAGGAACTTCTTTGGGGTTTACCCAAGCATTTTATTCAATATGCTAAAAACCAAAAATAATACTTCCAAGTTACAATGTTTTTTACTGTAAATTGATAGATGTACAACATTCATTGTAAAATGTATCACTTTTTAACGAAAATTTGTAAAAACTTGTATTTGTTAATCTAAATTGCTGTAATTGTTCATTCATTAACTTGCATTCAAGAAATCATCTAAAATTGTTTTTGTATACATTTGCAGCTGCTCTGTAACTTTTTTGTAGTATGTGCTTTCTGGTAAAGATCAAACATCTATGCTCATTATGTAGCTATTGTTTTCATGCACTGTTTAGAGGTATCAGGCACTGGTGTTATGGTGATCAATATTTAAAAATGAACAGAATTGTGCTTTTGTGTCTCTGTTCTTTCCCTACTTGAAATTGAAATATGTGTGGTTGAGTAACTTCTCACTTGTGCTGGCATAAGAAGAATGGCTTCAGCTGCCATTGCTATCAGCTTTGTTTATTTCTTTGTCATCTACCATTGCATGCAGGGACATATCTTACTGGTGACAAAGACGACAAACGTGATGAACAGATGTTCATCAAGGTTGAACTGTTGTTGGCAACAGAATCTAAAGTGCGGATGCTTTATAGAATTTGACTACATTTTAAATTTTCCTGCTCTAATATGATCCAATTCCTTGATAGATTTAAGGTGTTATGTGGTAACATTAAAGATATTTTGGGTTGTTTTAAGTAAACAATTGTTCATTTGAACCGCGTCAGGATTTTCTTCATTATATCACATACCTCAGTCCATTAGAGTTTACTTATGATTTATTGTTATGATTTGTTCATAGTGGTAAAAGAACGCACTGAATTCATTTTTATATCTTTGAGTTTGCAGTCTACTCAGTCTGCAGAAGTATTTCTTATGTCAAGTGTAAAAGAGTAAGCTGCTAGAATCTGATGATCCTTTATAATCCAGCATGTTAAATTGAGGTTATTTTTGTTGATGAAATAGTCCACTCCGTTTTTTATTCCTCTGCTTTCCCGAGAATTACCGTGCATACTTCTCAGATAGGTTTTGAGATTAAGAATTTGATTGTATTTGCTTAGTCTTGTTATTTAAGGTGATAAATATTTGGTGGTTGTGAAAGAATTGCTGTCTTAGAGCTAGTACAAGTCTCTGAATAACATACTAGTGCTCATAATTATATGATAGATAGAAATCCATTGTTGAAAAGAAGAACCTACATGAGAAGTTGTCAGGACATCATTAGTTTTAATTGTTACAAATAACATATGTGGCTGTTTGTTCAATAGCTGTACAATTCCATGAAGAGTTTTATTTTTAAAGAGTTTTTTATAAGCTGTGTTGTAATAATATCGAATATATCATCTGCTCTTCAGCTGTTCTGTTTGAAAAAAATGTAATTGTTATGACTCCAGATAGTTCTGTGGTCTCCCAGAAGTTACTGTCTGGTTTTGTACTGATGATAAAACTGGAACAATGATGGAGTTCGAAGGAATGCCAGGGCATTTATAACCACCATGTTTAACATTCTTGAGGTTAGAAATCCTGAAGTATTTTGAGCCTTCCCAGTGTTGTACGATCTCAGATAATAAAAGCCTAAAAATGAGACTAGGCTTGTCTTTGATGATTGTTATCTCTTTTAAGTATAGCTATATAGTTTATGTAGATTATGAAAACAGCTTATCAAAATTTTAGGTCTGTTGACTTTACAAACTGGTTAAAAATTTAAATTAAATTAATGTTATTTTAGCTCTGATTGAAAGAGAAAAGGAACAATTATAGCTTAGCAGTTTTTTCCCTCCAACTTCAGATTATCCAAGTGAAATTGAAACAAACAAATTCCTGAATCAAGCAGAAAAAACAACACAGAATAAAAGTAAAAGCAGTCAGCATTTCATTAAAAAGAATGTAGAGGTAAGCTTTAAAAGAAAAATCAATAATATTTCATGAAAAAGTACTGTCAGCACTTCTGGTGACAATTGGATGACTTTATCGGGAATATTAAAAGCTAATTAGAAGTAAATGAAGATTACGTTACTATTAACGTTACTATTAACAATTGTTGCTTATGGCAGAAAACTCTGTAAGATAGATTTCATATTGCATGCTCAAAATTTCACAGTAGGCCTAATACTGCTTTTGTTTATTTACTGTAAAGTAATGGAAACTGAATTATTCTGCTTGTGCCCGGCATAGCTTCTTTTGTGGAATTTCCTAAGAATTCCTTTTTTTAAATATATTTATGATTAAGTTACAGGAAGCTGTCCTTATGTGTAGATGAGGAATAGATATACAGGTTATTTATGTACAGCATGCATGGAACTTTTAACTTAAAGAAGGCTGACTTCTGTCAGAAAATAGAGGCCTTGACTTTCAAACTTTCTTTGCCCTGAAGATAAGTATCTATAGATTTTTGGTTTTTTCATCTAGCATTACCTCCTGTCTGTGTCTATAATCTTATGTCAAAGACTGACATAAGATCATACTTTTATTATCTGTCAGAGAGATAATTTATATTATGAAAAAAAAAATCAGATGTTAATTAAACATGGAGTTTTAAAATATTGTGTGAGCTATTGCAGTTTTAAAGGTTTTATTATTTGTGTGGTTTTTTTTTTTTTTTTTTTTTCTCCTCTATTTAAACATTTCAGCTAGCAAAGGATTCAGGAAAACAGGTACCTATGCTTGAAGGAGAAAGGAAAAGGTTAATTGTACTCTTGAAAGATACAGAAGATGAAAGTACACTGCAAGATCTTGAGGTATGAGTACTTCAATTTATACTTTCTGGTTGTATTTGGTTTATTTTTACTGTAAATCTAAATTTGATTTTTACTTTAGTCTTATTGTGAAGTAATCAACAAATATATGAGAGCTGAACTGAAAAAAAAAAAACTGGGTTGTCTTCCTTCCCTTCCTTCCCTTCCTTCCCTTCCTTCCCTTTCTTTCATTTTCTTTCTACTATTTGGAATTTCTCAGGCCTGAAATAAGCAAACAGATCTTCCAGAAAAAGTTAGAAACAGGTGGAAGGAGCCATAGAAACCCACTCAGAGCAGAACATGGTCTATTTTTTATGTACAGTAATTTGTGTGTAAGCTGTCATGTTGCTGCATCTCAGTCCGAGTGCTTAGCACTACTGTCTCTGGTAGAAGGTTCAGCAACTATTTCCAAAAAACCTAAAAAAATCAAACCACAAAAATCAGGGTTTTCTTGGGATATGAATTTCAGGATGCAGTAATTGGGGAAATACACAATGGTGAAGCTTATGGTTGCTTTTAAAAAGATGACTGTGACTTCCAACTCAGTCTGTCTAAAAAGTATATAAAGAAGCCAGAAGCCTACTTTAATATTAGACACCTATATTATAACATAATGTTACAGAGCAAGCAATGCATGTCTGCATATTGCGCTAGATAGGAAAAGCTGAAGTATGTAGAGGTAGAAACACTTTTCCTTATAAAGCATAATGAAATGTGTGATTGTCTTAGCCATCACTGTGTCAAGGAAACTGTGCCACAGAATGGTTCCCAGTAATCTGAGCACATCAAATACTCTTTTGATCTCCTCATTATTAGTAGACAGTCTTTATTGTTTACTCCTTTGATGTAAATGTCAGAGTGGTAGAGTTGTTGGGGATCTTCATATGTTACAGAAGTTCTCATGATGCATCTAGTGTAGGAAGATAAAATTTTGTTTGGAAAATGAATTCAGTCTGTAAACCTGTGCTATATTTCAAATATATGTGGTATTAAACCTGCTAAAGAGAAGTATTTTCATAGTAGGATCATCCTCAATACAAATTTGATATTATATTTAAAGAAAACTCCACTTTCATAAGTTAGGAAAAATGCTGGAAAAATACTTGCTGTGTTCAAGGAAATTATATGACCTTTAAAATTTGTTTTACCTTTAAAAATACATTGCTCGAATTCTATGTACTTTGAGTACTTAATATGTTATGAATTTTGTCACAGTACATAAGTGTGCACTGAATCACTGCCCCTAAGATAAGAACTTTGTGTGGAAAGGGCAACAAAAAATTTAGGTTAAGCCTCTGTTTATATTACTGAAATGATCTGGGGTAAATTCTTTTGCAGTCCATTATTTTATTTTATTTTTTTGTTGTTCCATCTTTCCATATTTTACTCTTATTTTCTGGTAAGGCCATGAGACATCCAGGAGGTGCTGTTCTTCATTACTCATTTCCAAAACATGGCTAAAATCCATTTTTAGAAATTGTTTCACACATGAGTTAAAGGAGTGAGCTCATGTAAGGATCAAAACCTTTAACTGAATCTACTTCATCCAGCTTTTGAGTAAGAAGAAAATATTGGTAGAGAGCGGATTTTTGATTTGTCCTTGTTTTTGTTGTTTTTGTCCTCATGTTGGAAAGGTTGGTGTTTAACAATACTGTCCCTTCTGTTCTTTTTTGAAAGAGTTGATCTTTCATAAATGTTGACATTTAAGTGATAATCTTATAAATAGGCTTCTGCTAGTAAGCATTAGAGCTTTCTGACTTAAAGAACAGTGGTTGCTGTTTGTGATTACTTTTTTTTTTTTTTTATTAATAATTTATTGGTTTACTGATTGCAGAAGTCTTCTCTCACAGTAGGTGGCTATCAAGTTTTCTTTTTCTTAAAGCTGGTCACAAATTAGACAGGTATTTGTTCCAAATAGTGCAAATTCTGGCTAGCCCTTTTCTGTGCTTCAATTCTTAAGGCTCCAAGACAAAATATGACATTTATCCGGAGTTCATATCTGGAATGTGTCACTGTTCTTTGGACATGGATCTATAGACCTTGTATTACTTTATCAGTTATTAAGTAGATCACTACAGAAGGCATTTATTGCTGTAGGTTCTTGATATAACAGACAATAACAGGAATGGTAATTTGTGGGTTAGTCTAGTCACTGCTAGGTCACCTCTTTAAAGAAAATAGCTCCTAGATTTACTGCCAAGGTAGAATAAAAGAAAGGATAATACGTAGCTTCTTGAAACCTGGCGAGTTAAGAGAGAGATTCTTTTTCTGCTACATTTGAATTATATTATGTCTGAGTCATTTCTTGTGGCTGCTTTATAGCAAAGATCACAAGAAACTTATCAGTTGATGAGTAATTTAGACTGCTCCAAGCTGGCCCAGCAATGCAACTGTCCAACTGATGGCCACTTTTATCTTACTTTATTCTGACTTTTAAAAAGCTGGTCCAACTGCATTGGCCAAAGTAATATTTTGGAGGGCTTTAATCAGTGCAGAGCTGGGCATGCTGTATTAATTCTTCTGTGTAGTATAATGCAGATTAGGTAACTTAGTCTGACTTGTACAAGTAAATAAGCCAAATATCCAAATAGTACTTCTTACTTAAATAAAAGTGTTTTATGGATATTTGAAGTATTTTAGAAGTACGTTTTCATGCTAATAGAACTGTTAAATCAGCAGGGGTATAATTTGTTTCAGATGTTACATAGTACTGAGTGCCTACTGCTGTTACAGAAACATTCTGAGTTAAGACGTTGGAAATAGTGGTAGGACAGAAGCATATTTTCCAAGACAAATGTTAAATCACTGACCATCTTGAAAGTACAGAGAATGTTTAAGTCTGTTTTACTTTGGAGTAAAGTGGCTACTAGATACTGCAAAAAGGGGGTGGGAGAGCATGAGAAATAGACATTGAGCACTAGCTACAAAATTGCACCTGGGTTCATAGTCTGTCTCCTGCAGGGTCATATGTGTGTTTGACTGATTAGAGGATGGGTAGCATGACACAAGTTTAGCACCTCATTCTACTTTTGTTTGATTTTGTTTCACAAAGACAGAATGGAGGTAATTTATGGCAAGTGTTTGGGGTGTGCTTTTTTTTTGCTTTTTTGTAGCCAGCGTGATTTAGAGTAATGAGGATGACCAGGGATGACCTCACAGTAGTGGTATTGTAGTTTGGAGCTGATATTTCCTCCTTGTGTGTGGATGCAGCTGCTCAAATAGTTAGTGGGTTAATCTGGAAGCTGTAAAGGAAGAATGGGCATGAATCCTTTGCAAGACAGATGTTGAAATCTTGAAATAAGGTGATGATCCTCTCCTGTTAGGATAAAGAAAGGAAATCAACAGTATGCTCTCTACTTCCCCCATCTCCCTGCCCTGTTCTTGTGAGGTTGTAACTGATGATTGTTTGGAATCAGGATAGAGATGTAATTTGCTAGTGAATAGTGAATAGTGGTTGTGCAGAGCCACTTCCCGGGGTGTGAGACAAGAGTATCAAGTTGCAGTGGATAATCAGTATCTACGAATGTGTGCTCATTTGTTTGGGTTAAGTGGGACAAATTCACTCATAGTATACAGTTGTCTATACTGGAACACATACTTGTGTTGATTAGTCAGGTGTTACTGCTATCAAGTGGAAGAAATTATGTAAGTCACTATTACAAAGTGAACTTTGCTTTCTACCTCTCCCAATGTTTCTGTGGTAATGTGCTGGATACACTCCAAGGGTGATGGTTACTGATCTCAAAGCAGTTCCTGTAGGAACTCAGATTTTCCTGCAGATGTCTTATTTTGTTCTTTGGGCATGCAACACTCACATTGCATTTCACATCTTTAGTTTGAGATTTGACTCCAGGCAGTTTCTACCATAGGATCAACCTTTTCAAATTTAATTCTAGGATTTCTCAGGCTTTTTCTCTTCCACTGGCATGCATAAGCCTTGTCCTTGGAGATCTCCAAAAGCTTCTTGGACATGGGTCTGGGCACTCTCCTCTGGGTGATGCTGCTTGAGCAGGGGTTGGGCCAAATGGAACCAGAGGTCCTTTCTCACTTCAGTCACTCCATGATTGTGTGTTTCTTCTTGATTTTTTTGTCAGATAGAAAGTTGCTGTGCTTTTAGTTGTAGCTGCTGATTGTGTTTCTTTGGCTTGCGCAGTAGTATGTTGCTTCCAGCTGCTTTGGAGGATAATAGAGAGCAGTGTATTATGTTTCACTTTATTGGACTTCTGAATGATTTTTAGCATGTGTTGCTATGCAGGTGTGATTGGGAATGTAAAATAGATATGTGATTGTTTATAGAAAGGGTGTCTGTCTGTGGTTGATGCCAGAATTTATTTCTGAGGTGAAAGCTGATTGGGCAGCTTGCCAATATGTTGTTTTTCAGAGAAGTTGAGACTTCTGTGACTTGCATTTGTCTTTTTAATACGTAAATATATTTTACTGTTTGCTGTGTAGTCAAGTCTTCGTCCTTTGTCCAACTTCAGTTGTATTACGGTATTCCCAGAATAATACTTTTTGTGCAAACAAGACATAACTGAATTGTCTTAGGATGATGTTTACCAACAGTTTTAGTACAGTTTATGAGAGCTTCTTTTCTTCCATATTAGCTCTGAAAACGTGAGATTATTGCATGCTTTTTGCATGTTTTCAGTCTTAGGATTGGTGGATCTACCTCTGTCAAACAATTTACTGAATTTCTGTCCTTTGCACTATCTTGCAAAGGCGTACACCACCTCCAAAATAGATGTTCATGTTATTGGCATCAAAAAGTGCTGCTTGTGTACAGCACCAGAGAGCAAGATCTGTGTGTATGTTAGGTTGTGGTAAACTCTTATTCCTTAAAGATGGAGCTGGGACTCCTACGTTCAACAGATGCAGAGTCTACAAAAAGGGGGGAGTCTGTATCCATGAATGGAAGCTATGATAACTTGCTGACATGTAAGCTGGATAAGATACTATACAGTGAAACACATCAATAAGGTAATAAGGTAAAGGGGTTAGTTATCCAAAGTGCTTTTGTTGTATGTAAAGAGAACTTGATCAAAAGTGTTGTATAACCTCCAAAGAACGGGTAGGGAACTTGTGGAACTGTTTATTCTCTGACTGGCTGGTATAGAGGCAAGGCACCTGCCTGTAAGCACTTTTATTTCAGGGATTCTACGTGGCTAGCCAGTGAATATGTGGGTTTTGGATTTATTCATATAAAAGTATATTAACTGCAGAAATCTGTTTTGGTTAACACAAGATTTTATTTTATTTTATTTTTTTCCAGTTGCATTTGAGCAATGCATGTAGATGAGTGTACTTTTTAAAAGTAAAATGTAACAAATATATATCTTTAAGTCCACCTAAGTTGCTGCTTAGTTCTATTTAAAAATAAAGAAATGTGTACTTCTAGTTGGTGAATATCTGCTCTAGGATATGCTTGGTAGAAGAATGCTGGCAGAATTCAGCTATATAATGAGATAGATCAGAACTTGCACATTGTCCTTTAGTTCAGTTTATTCAAAAAATAAATATGCTTGATGTGTAACTGCTTTTAAAGCCTGTTTCCTTTGGGAATGAGGATTAAATATTTCCTGTATCTTTCAACAGGACAATGTATGCGGCTGGCTAGCACCAGGAGAAGGGTACACACCTGAACCAATGGAATTTCATCACCTAAATGAGATAGACAGGAAGCTTCAAATACTACTGTCTAATGGTGATTATTCTACAATTTCCAGGTCTTGCTCAAATCCTCCAAGCCAGATTTATCAGGTATATTACAGAAAAGTGCTTTAACCAAAAAATTTGATATGCAAAAATTGATATTTTGGATATTCAAAATTGCAAAATGGCCGCTGTAGCACATTATCCATGATAATTCTTCTTTGCAAATTAGAATTTGGTTTCTTCTTGTCTCAAGATTTCAAAAGTGAACTGAAAGATTAAACAATTATTGATAAGCAGTGTTGAAGACTTTAGAAAGTGGGTTGAAATTGTCTTTTTTTTTTTAAAGGATTTTTGTCTTTTTCCCTTTCCAAGAGTAATAAGCTTAGAAGTCTCAGCCTTGAGAAATATTTCTTTGAATTTTACACATAGAAGACCAAATTTTCCATTGTTCTAAGAGTGTTGTCCATGGTGTATGATGGGGGAAATAACTACATAAAATACTGTAACTCCTGTTTTGTACTTATTTGCACAAAACCTGTTCACTTTATTAAAATGTACAGTTCATAGCCAGAACAAACAAAATTTCAACATTTTAATGCCAGTTTTGTATTGAATTACTTGTGAACCTTATTTAGGTTTTATTTGACCTGAAGCAGTATTTTATGTTGTTTGTAAGTTCCAGAGGAGCCATAATTTGAAGCTGGTCATTTTCCTCCTCGCATTTAAGGTATGAAACAGCATCTCCCTCTAGTGGTTAATCACTCACGCAAATTTAGTTGTTACCCACGTGGGTGCTTCAGGTTCACGGACCTGAACTCGATAAAGACTGCTGGATCTTGAGCTTACTGATAAGAGGCAGCACCATGAACCTGGTGATACTGCTTGTGATAATGAGTTCTTTGGGAACGTTTGATCAGAGTGATCGTTATTGCACTCTTTATTTCATACTCTGAAGTATTTGAACAGGGAAACTTGCACTTATGTATATACTTCTTGAAAAGAGTACACTACTTTTTTGAATAGTATCAGAATTAACAACCAAAACAAGGCAGTTAATTTCTTAAATTACCCATACTTGGTAAAAAGCATTTATCTTTCAAGTTTGTATTGCAGAAATTTTTTTGTACGCTGTAGAACTGGGAAACAAAATTCTGCTTGTCTTTTTTCATTGTTGTTCAGATAAACTACAGTGTGTGAGTCATTTTAATGAAAGTTACCAAAGAACAAAACTACTTATAGATGGATTTATAAGTTTGAGAGGAAGTTAAACAGAAGAAACATAAGTTGAAGTTGATAGATAGTATAGCTATTTAAAACTGGATTTAGAAGAATGCTAATTGCATAAATCCAAAACAGCAGTCTGCAGTTGTCTAATTCCATAAGTGTCATGATTTTATGCCTTTCCAGCTGACACCAAAATTCCCTAGACACTTGTATTGCTGCTTCTCTGCATCTTCACAGCTGTTGCTCTCTGTAGAGAATTGGGTGCCTGGTGGGTGCCATAGTTTCATTGTCATCATCCCATTAGAAAAGTCAATGCTAAGTTCTTCATGATGCCTAATTTAATAGGTGCAGCCTGATTGTATCTGGCACTGTGACATGACTGGGCTTGTATATAACTACACATAACTTCAGCTGTTAACATTTTTGAAGGTAAGTGGAGGAGAAAATAGCTATGTCAGCTTTCAGAAACTTGTCTGCTTAGTGTGGAAGCTTTGTACTGGATCTTTTAGTTCTACATTCTTGATTGTGGTTATTTGTACCTTGATACCATCACTTCAGTACATATGTGGAACAGTGAAGGCAGGTCCAATTCTGGGTTTGCTTATGTGAATTCATTCTAAACATCTTTTGTTTTCAAGTCCCTTTAACAGTTGCCTTTTCAAAAAGCAGGAAGTAACATGCATCAGTAGCTGAGAAATTAGCAACTACTTTGAATCTGGAGAGCTTCCTCTCAAAAGGCATACATTTCTACATGTTCTAAACTCATTGGTGCTCATGGTCTTCGTGAAACAGCTGTGATTATCATGATTGATATCCTCTAATATTGTTATAAACTAGAAGTTTTCATGCTTTTTTTTTTTTTTTTTAAACAACTTTGAATCTTAAAGCATCAGTTCTGATATCTGAAAGAAGATGGGCCATAGAGAAAAATGAGAATTCTTTGTAGTGAATGTCTTTTGGAGGCGGACGCAAGTATGATATTCACGATACTCATTATCATGCTAACTCTTCTCTTGAACATGGCATTTTTGTTTTATTTTGCAGCTGTCTAGATGTCATCTAGATAGTTAAATTGTCTTTTGTATATGTTATCTTAAAGATAAAGTGCATTTGTGTTTAGTACTCTGCTATCTTTTTTTCTTTAACCTTCAGCAGGGCCGGTATGAGAATGCCTTTTTCAGCTCTGATTTGATATCTTATTGTACTTCAGTACTGCTGAAAACTTTTTCTGAGTGTGTCTAGAGTTGTTACAGGAAATAAGTCTCATTTGGAAAAGCAGAAACTGGTATCAGTGGCATCACTCTTCTATTAGTCTGTGTTGAAATTCCTTCTGATTTGAGGTGGAATTTTCATCTGCTGTGGTTAAGTAGAACATAATGTACTAGTGATGGGAAATATTAGGAAAAAAAATGTTAATGTGTAACCATCTGCTTATGTTTTTGTTTAGAATTTTAGAAGTAATTGAAATGAAATTAATTTAAATGTTGCATATCATAAAGAAGCACATTCTTTTCTTCCAAGAATTTCATTAGATATAACTTTCAAAGAGCAAGCACTTAATCACCATTGGCTCAGTGGGAGAGATGCTTCCTGCTGCTTATAGATGCATTGGCAGGATATAGGAAATATTCTCCAACTCCGAAATCTTTAACAACTGGATTTAATTATTGTACAGTATCATAGCTGAGCTGTTAGAGTGAAGCATACAGATTCATCTTTTTGTGCAATCAGAACAGCTGGATTCAGAATGCTTTTCCATAACTAATGTTTTCTTTTACATGGAAATGTTTCTCATCAGAACTTAATTTCTCTCTGAAACATTTCTTTGTTTTGGTGCCAACTTAATTAAAAATTTAAAAAATGCTTTTGTCTTTCTCAGTGTTTTTTGGAAGAACAAATTAAATTGAATATAATCCTAGAAGAGACAGGAAAATGGTAGGATGAAAGAATATGAAGTGTAAAATTGAGTATGAGGAATACAGTTACCAACTTGAACAACTGGAGAACTACCTGAAAATAAAATGAAATGGAGGTTATGATTAAAGATCTGTTCATTTTTACCTTATGAAGATAATTACTTCCATGTTTTTGCAGTCTTGATGAGTTCTTTCATACCTGATTGGCTTCCTTTTGTCAGAGAAATAATTCTCTTTTTCAATTACCACACCAAACTATAGTCAACAGTTCAAATAATTAGTCAAAAGAATGGAAGATTCTGAACTCACACTGATATTTTCATTAATGACCTGCTTTATAGCCTGCATTCCATGCCGCCTCCTCTTCATCAAAACAGAAGAGTTTTACAGCTCTCTCTTCTTCCAGGCATATTTAGAAGCAGGTGAACATGTCAATCTGTTTTGTGACTCAAAAAGATTCCATGGTACCAGTAGATTTCATTTGGTTGCTTTTTACTTTTGCTTTTAATTTTGAGAATTTTGGAGAAAAGGAAATCCAAAACATAAATTTAGCCATTTAAAATACTGGATATTTCTGTTTATGCTATGGCACTGTACTGTGGCTTTAGCAGTTGCTACGTGTAATACTTTTTATTTCCTACATCGTCTTAGTAGCTTTGTAGATTTTAATCTCTAATGAAGAAAAACTTAAAATTTTCAAAGAATTTGAAACATCGACAGTAAAATATTTTTCATGATATAGTGCTTCATTTCATCCAGATAGCTTCAGGGAAAAAAATAAAAAATGAATGAGTGGAGAAAAGCTGTATAAACTTTGCTCATGTGGTGCGAGTTCTGATCAGTTACTACTCAGGGATGAGGTAAATGAGACTGCTGAGATCTGCTTCTGTGGAAGCAGCGGTTTAACCCTCCGCAGTGTAAGATATGAACTGATTAAGAACAATTATGAAAAGAATACAGAGTGAAACAGGAAAAACAATCACTGTGCTACTGTACAAATCTGTCGTGCACAATGGAACTTGACAATTGCTCCGTGAGGCCCTCAGATCTCTTAACCAGATTAGAAGAAATAGAAATCTGGTTACAGAATGTTCAGAAGCGTGGAATAGCTTCCATGCAAGAACTGACTTAGCAACATTCTTCAGTTTGGAAAAACGAATAAGAGGAAGTGTGATTGAAGTATACAAAATTACACTTGTCAGAGAGAGGCTTACTTTTCAATGATGAATATGCTGTAACATTTTCAGAACGAAATTCAGCGAAAATGTTCTCAAATCTCTCTTCTAAAAAATTTGGAATAACTTTTAGTTTTAATTTTACACTATCAATTTGTGTCATCCCCATCTTTCCTTCCCATTCTTTTCCTGAAACTGCAGGGAAAAATGTATTTTATTAGTATTGTATTGTCTTCAACTGCATTCTGTAAGTATTTTTTTACTCTGACCTTCAGAGATAAAGAAATTTCAGAAAAATTGTGCAAGGCTTTCCAGCTTTATGTTTTCCTCTAGTTATTAGCTTCCATCCTCGCCTTTGTCCCCAGTGGTTTGAAGAATTATTTAACTTGTATTAAAATCCCTGGAAGAGTAAAGTCATACAAAAGCAATCTATTTTACTAGAGGGAAAGTGAGTGTTTGTTTTGGGCTTCTTTGCTGACTTTGTGTTTATATTGTGGTCATAAAGATCCTATTCATGTTTCATATGTTAATGAACACAAGTTTAAATAAGTCCTCTGTTTTATGTTCTGTCGTGTTTTCTTGCAATTGGGCATCAAGTTTAATTAATAATCTCTTTCTGTAGAGAAGCCAACCTTTATAAACACTCATTATTAACAGATTTTGGCTTTAGGTGGTCCACATTAAACTTGAGTTTAGAGAAATTCTAGTCACTATTAGATGCTGCCACTTATATCTATGTCTGTTACAGGAAAAATCTGGGACTGTGGTACAGCCAACTGTCACTGATTTGAATATTGAATAAAGATTGCACTGTGTTAATTTTATTTTCAGGCACAGTAGTTTAAGTCTGAGAGCTCATGATTACTTTTTTTTTATGTTCAGAAGAAATGTTTTCAGATACTTATATGTTGCAGTTGACAAATTTTTTATATGTTGCAGTTGACAAATTACAAAGTTAATTTTCCTTTCCAATTAGACACGTTATCTGTTTTCCTCATATATGTTTATTAAACTGCTTCTGGAAAAAGAAAAAAAAAAAAAAGGAATGAAAAGTGTTTTTTTAAAATGATTGCTCATGTTCTTTTGGATTGAACTGACTAATAGTTTTTTATTATTATTATTATTATTATTCGACTTACTTGGATTCTTATATAGGATCCTTGATTTGCAGCAGAAAGCCCAGGTTTTTTTCCAACTACAGTGTAACTTTGCCATTTGTTTTTGGCAAATAGTTGTCATTCTTAATAATCTGAATTCCATTCTGTTCTTGTATGTAATAGTACTACATTGAACTTTTGATGTATTCAGCATTGTTATTAATTGCAAAATCTGAACCAAAAATACTGTAGGATATGAGAACGTGTAACCCAAGAGTATAATGACAGTAGTACATCTATCTTGCACTTGAACTCAGAGGATTTTTTTAGTTTACCATGATGTCCAGGAAACAAGGCCTATTTCAATTTTGATTCTTTCATTCTCTTCTGAGAGTTGTCAGCAATGGCCTAATTCTGATCCCAGTATCATTGACAGGGAGCGAGCTTTTGAATCGCTACTTCTCAATGCATTTTTATGTTTCTCATAGAACTTAACCATCAAAGAAATTCCTCTTTGAATGTGATGAAGGCTTTTTACTGAATTAAGTCCAGCCTAACATTTAGCTATTGGATTTGAAAATATGTGTAATAAAAATTATGCATTTCCCAAATTTGAAACTTATACATTATTCTATAGATTTCCATGTTTTGCTGATGTAAATCAAATGAACATTCTTCAGGCTTTGAAGCAAAAAAAAAAAAATTAATTTTTGCCTATTCTTCTTTTTATCAGGAGTCTCTGGTTTATGCAAACAGAAACCTAGAAGTAATTCCAGGTGAAAAGGTTCTACGAGACAATAAAGAATATCGTGATCAACAAAACCGTCTGAAAGAAATAGATCATCAGCTGAAATCTTTAGAGAGAAATTTTGTAAGTCTCTTTTTCTTTTTTTTTTTTTTTTTCAGCTTGAAAACTTTGGAATTTATCATACCTTACACCTTAACAAGAAAATCCCATTTTGAAATCTTCTGTAAATTCCTGAAAGAGTTCCTGGGGAAATAAACATGCAATTAATAATGCCTTTCGAAGTGGAAAAAAAATTACTCTGCCCTCTTGCCTGGAGGAGGAGGTACCATTTATAAACAAACATGTACAAATACATCTTCAAAGCATTTTTTTTAGGAGCTGTATAATTCAGTATTTGTTAGAGGACCCGGTGCGATTTACTTCTACTAAATTCATTTGGTATATTTTTGTGCATAGTTTTCATTTGATGCATGAATTTCTTAGAAACAGGAGTCATTAAAATATGGGCATGCAAGGAGAATGGTTGTTGAAGTATAATCATTACTGATTTAGAACAAATACATCGCATCTTATCTTTGTTACTACTTTGAGTAAAAGTGAATGTGGAACATACAACTTAAAATATATGAAGATCCTATTATTAATCTCTTAGTCTGAAATTCTGTTTGTTCCTAAGTATAGAGTCAAAATTGACAAGTCCAAACTTGCAGAACTACGTGCCACACTCAAATAGTATATTACAATTCTTTTCAATGAGTATAATTTATTACATTACTCAAGTTACAATAAGGAAGTATAACTAAAGTATAACTAAAAAATCTAGTCATGGGGAAACCTCAAGGACTTGATTTTTTTTTTTTAAAGTCCTCTTTGACATACACTTTGTAAGTGTGCTTTTTGATCTGTGCTGTTTAATCTTAAAGAGCTATGAAGCAATTGGTAGAGAAGATAACTAGGGAGGAAATATGTAAATTATTCAAAGCTAGATGAAGTCCTAAGGTAGAACGTCTGTCATTTGGTCTGAAAACCAATGTTAGCATTTGTTTATATGCTGGATCCTTCATAGATCTTTTTATGAGCAAAGAATGAAAGTCGTCAAATCATGGTTTTTTTTCATTATTTTAATATTTTATTATTTTGTGCAAAACTTTGAAGGCTTCTCTTACTCACATGAGATCTTTAGTGGAAAGCTCAAAAGAACTTTATTACTGAGCTGCCACTAGTGACCAAAAATTGGGCACACATGCATGTTTTTCAGTTGTGAACATTTTTATTTAGTGTGATGTTTCTGCTTTGAGATAGGAAGGCTTTTCTTTCCCCTCTACGTAGAAGGTGCTATGTGGGGAAGACGAACTAGTTCAGCAGTGTGTAAGAAATCAAAGTGATATGAAAGCTAGCATGGATAGAATCATAGATTGGCTTGGGTTGGAAGGGACCCCAAGGACCATCAAGTTGCAACCCCCCTGCTATAGATAAGGCCACCAACTTTTACATCTGGTAAAATGGTAAATCTGGTAAAAACTAGACCAGATTGACCAGGACCCCATCCAACCTGGCCTTGAACACCTCCAGGGACAGAGCATCTCTGGTCTGTGCCAGCACCTCACCAGTCTGTCTGTAAAGAACTTCCCCCTAACATTCGATCTAAGCCTTCCTTCCTTGTGCTTAAAACCATTCCCCCTTGTCCTATCACTATCTACCCTCATAAAAACTTGATTCACCTCCTGTTTATAATCCCCTTTTAAATACTGGAAGGCTGCAATGAAGTCTCCTCTCAGCCTTCTCTTCTCCAGTCTGAGCAAGCTCAGCTCCCCCAGCCTATCTTCATAATAACCCGAAAAAGCTGGATTTTTATGAGATACCCTGAATATTTTGCTATGTTAGCAAGAGGTATCAGTACCTCTAATTAAGATGAAAGAGCTATGCACGTGGCAAAGTCGGTGACTGGGGTCAGTGAACATGGGTTTACCAAAAGTAATGCTTGATCAAACTGACTGCTTTCTGTGATGCAGTGACTAGATTTACCTGATAAACTGGAGGGTAGGAGTTGCAGTAACCTGGACTGCAGGTTGAAGAGAGGACTGACAGGATCCTTAAGAAATTCTTCAACGGCAAAAGTAGAGAGGAATAACTCTCAACAACAGTATAAGCTGGAGCCTGACTGGCTGGGGAACAGTCTGATGGAAGGGACCTGGCATTGACTACCTGTGAGCCAGCAGCATGCCTTGTGAGTGTGAAGAGTAACAGACTGTTTGACCGTGACAGATGAGCACAGTCAAAAGATTAAGGAGACAATTACGTTTGTTTACTCATTACTCTTTAGACTTTGTTTGAAGTATTGCATCCAGGACAGAGCTGTAGTATCTTTACTGATTTACTTGATGGGAGGACGAGAGAACATTGTTCATAAATTGAAATGAGGAGTTTCTAATTGAATTTAAAGAAAAAGAAAACTACCTCTGAGGGTAACTGAGAATGGGAAGCAGGTTGCCTGGAGAGGCTGTGACATACTGTCCTTAAAAAATATTGCAGATTTGACTGGACAAAATAGTAAACTGTTGAGTGTTTCAGTGATCTCAGAGCTGACCTTACTTTGAGCAAGAGGTTGGTCTAGAGATGACCTCATGTTCTCCTAACCTGATGATTTTTTGATTCTACAAGAGAAAGGATCAAGAATTTGTACACATTTCACAGATGGAAATTTTTTATTATCACTGCATTGAAAGGAAAAAAGGTAACTTTTTAATGGCTGTATATTGTGTAAATCAATTTCTTCTTTGCAGACCAAAGCCCATATAGTCCACCTTTGGCTTCAGTAGTGGGCTTACCTTCTACAGTAGTCAGAGTTATGATAAATATTATTCCTGTTGTCTTTTATTGCCCCCTTAAAGGAATCTCCAGTGCATATCAAAAGCTTTAGGGATCAGATAACAGCATGACTGCAGTGGTATAATTTCATTTACTGATAGTGCTATAGCTACAGTTGCAAGAACTTTTGCTGTTGTTTACATACGCAGTGTTAGTGCTGGCTGTACTGGAACTACACATCTGATATGATTAGACATCTAGCAGCTGTAACGCTGACATGGGTACAACCATGTGCATTCTGATCTTTGTGTTGAAGAAAAATAAAGTAGCCAATTAACAGACATCCTTACTGGTACTAGTTCCTTTTACATACTTGGAGTGTACGAGAATAAGATATCGAACAAAGCGGCAGTCAGTGATCAGTTTAGAGATCACTCGTTTGCATGTGTGCCACAACAGTCAGCATATTTAGCTCTTTTCTGCTCAAAATACTGAAACAATAGTAGAACTTCTTTTAATGCACTGCTCTACTATGTTACAGTTAGCTAAAAAATGTGAAGCAAAAGCTAGAATTATGTAGAACTTCAGTATACCGAGTACGTTAATGGGTAGGCAGATAAAATAAGTCTGTGTGTTGTCATCTTTTCCTGGTCATTGGCCTTGATATCACTTTTTATCACCACTGACCTTGTCAGTGAGGCAAGCACAATCTGAGGAAGTGCGTCTGGGAACTGTGCTAGTCTACAACAGGCCTGGGAAATGCAGTGAACTGCTGACTCATTCAGATGTTTTGAATATAAATGGGTCTGTTCCAAGACTTGATCGGGTTATAACAGTATATTTTGTTATCAGTCTACTTTCAAAATTTTCAACATAGTGAACATTCTTCCTTGGCTAGACTGTGTATTTAGAACTCTAAACTGATTGACTGTAGTACCAGAAGGTGCTACTTTTCTAGCTTTACACACTTAATACTGGGTAGTCTTATTTCTGGAAAATGCTGTTATTACTAAGGAAAATTTAATGAAATAGAAGGTATCTCCTGATGCAAGATGCTGGCATATTTCCAAAATAATTATTTCAGGAGATAACATTTGCAATTCAATAGATGGCACTCTTCACTATATGTCAGTGGAGGAATGCCTAGGCATGGTTCTAGGGAATGCTGTACTGGTGAAAATGTCATTTCAATGTTATAAAATACAGACTGTGGGAAATCTCTCATTTCTGACAAGTTAATTTTATAGCTTAGCTAATTAAATTGTCTGTTTAAAATTCATGCATTTAAAATTCTTTTCTATTTTCTAAACCACTGCAATTTGCTGTGTAAAACTGGAAATAAATGCTGTGAGGCTGGCGGAGGCAATTTGTCAGAAGTTTGAAATGTTAATTCTGGATGTAGAGTTGTATTGGGCTTTATTGTTTTAAAATACAGGTTTTTACAGATTTGCTGAGGGATGAGTTTTAATCATTTATTTAAAGAAGTCTCTCTGGTAATTCATTTTTGTTTGTGTTCTGTTTTGGTGGCTAGATTAAACAGCAGAGTTTAATTGAATATATTAGGGACTAACTTGCAGTAGGCTTAGAAATAACTTTGGAAAAAGTTGAGAGTCTTGGGGGTAGAATGCTGCATTACTTCCACTACTGTAGTATGAAGGAATTATTCAAGTGGCTTTGTACAACTGCAGATTTACTCTGCCCTGTCCTTCATAGAGGAAGAATATATTCATAGTATTTCTGGAGCAGGCTATTTAGTAGATGCTGACTTCTGAAATTATAATGTTTATGGATCCCTCTACTACACCTTATCTTGTACGTACTGTTTAATGGTTTCAGTAAAGACAGAGTCCACAAAGCAAGACTGGAAGATAACACTGAAATCATTACAAAGATAAGGCTATAGTCATTATGAAAAACAGCAGCACTACAGAAAATCTACTGAAGTATATGCTTGAAGTAAAGAAACTTTGGGCTTTGCAATCAGAGTTTCTCCTTTACTTTGTAAAAATTGTCCCCAGTGAATTAATATACCAAAGAATGTGTTGTCTGCACTGTTGAAATGCATTGTGAAATTTCAGTCTGAAATGTGTCTGTACTGTGGTTTCTGGGTCCTTGTTGGAGTTTCTTTTTAGGCTTTAGTTTGACCTTAGTTCACTTGTTCTTCATTTGAAACCATGGCTCTCTCCACATTCTTTCATCTTTCAGTTTCCTGGAAACCATTGAGCTTATCTTTGTTTGGTGAATTGCATTGTTAACTGCTGCTTCAAAAAATGTTCAGCTGCCAAATGCGTGTTGCTGAGCGTTAATGAAAAGAA